CAGCTGCCTCTGAGATCACCACAACATCAGTGTGAAGAAGGCTATCTTCCTCACTGGCTGGAGGGCCTTCTGCTGGGGGTGGCAGGGGTGGTGCCTCCTCAGCAGCAATCTTCTCAGCTGCACGCAGCTCCTTGTCAGCTTTGGCCTTGAGAGCCATCTTCTTCTCTGCCTTTGCAACAGCTGAGGGCTTGGAGTGCAGGCTTGCCTTAGTCTTGGCACTTGCTTTCATCTTCAGTGCTGCCTTCAAGACCAGGGAAGGTTTCTGAGCCTTCTTCTTCTTCTGCTGAGCTTCAGGCTTGATCTCTGCTAAGGCTTCTCTTCTGGACTGGGACTGAACCTTCAGAGCCAAAGCCTTTACCAACTTGCTCCTGTGAGCTTTCCTCAGCTTAGCCCTACCTGCCCTGTGCTTGGGGTTCTTCTTTTCTGAGAGCTTTGCTTCTTTGTACTGCTTGGTGCCCAATCTCCTGAGGCCAGCTCGCCTCAATGCAGGACTCAGCCTCAATGACAAGGAGTTTTGGAGCTCCAGCTCCAAATCCTCATTGAGGGCATCTGTGATCTCAAGCTCTCCTGTCTCATCTTCATCTTCAGGGTGAAAATAGTCCCATACCTGAAGGTCTGTGATGCTCTTAGCCACCTCGCTCAAATTCCAGTCAGCATCTACGGGCACACCTTCACTGTTGAGCCATTTGAGTCTGTCACTGAGGTACTCAGGCTTGTACCTCTTAGTGCCCATCTCAAGCTCCAACTCCTGGGCCCATTTCTGAGACAGCAGCTCCTCCAGCTTCCCTGTCTGAGGGTTTGGCCTGTAAACCAACAACCCATTCCTGACAGCAGCCCTTAGGACCCACTGGTCTCTGAGATTCTTGTCACTGAGGAATTCCTGGGCATGAACCGCTGCTGTGACAATCTCCTTTGGGCCAACCTTCCAAACTGAGTGGGAATCTCTGATCTGAGTCTGCCACTCAGATCTCATCTCAGTCAGCTTGCTCCTGACCAGGGCCTTGAACTGCTTGGCAAAGTCTGTGTCAGTGATCTGGAGCTTGGAAGTGCATTTCTCAGCCACAAGGCAGCTTAGCTGGTTGGCCAAAGCCATGGCTTCAGCAGCTGAGTCAGTGAACACTGAGCTGAAGCAGTCTCTCATCCACATTGAGCATGGGTACTGCTCAGCCTGAGCCCAAGTGAGGATCACTGAGTCCACATTGCTGGCAGGCTGAGACATCACCTCAAGCTTGGACATCAACTCAGGGTGGCTCTTCCTCAGTTTCCTGTAGGGCTCCAGGATCCTTCCAACTGAGGTTTCTTGCTTCCTGACAACAGTCTTGTCTCCAACCTGGAAGCTCTCAGTCTTCAGCCAAGTGCCATTCTCTGAGATGTTGCTGAGCCTGGCCCACTGGCCAGGCACAACCAGCAGGCCCTTGCCCACTGATCCAACAATCTCATCCTGAGAATGCACTGAATGAAGCAATTGCCTTGCTTCATAGGTGATGCGAAAGCGCTCATCACCTGACACCCCAATTAGGGTAGTGGCTGAGGCCTGAGGGAGAGGTTTTGGTTTCTGGGCTCCTTGCTGGGCTGAGCTCACCTCCTTGTCAGGGATTGCAGGTGCCACTGCATGCTGACTGCTTTCCTCAGGTTCTGGCTGCTCCTCAGGTGTGGCAGGCACCACTTGCTCAGAAGACCCTGCAGATTCCCCAAAGCTGAGCTTCCTCACAACACTGCTGGGTGGACTTGGGCTTGAGGAAGGAAAGCTGAGCTGCCTTTTTGTTGGTGGTGTGGCTGACTCAAAGCTCTGCTTCTTTTGCAGTGGCTGCACCACCATCTCAGCAGGGTCACCTGAGTGCATAACCTCCAAAATGGCTTGCCTCACTTCTGAGAAGTCTTTGATGTGCTCAGGCTTCTGGAGCTCTTCCTCAGCAAAGATAGCTTTCCTGCCAGTGGCCTTGGCCCACAGGGGAATCTGATCTGAGAAGCCTATGACAAGGTGAGGACGCGCTGAGACAAAGTCCTCAGGAGATGCCACTCTGTCTGAGGCCTTCAAGGTCTCAGCTGAGGCACAGGTGGCCAACCACAAGGTCTTGTCAAACTCCTGCCAAGTCAGGAGGCACCTGGTCTTGCTCTCAGTCTCAGAAATGTTGGTCACTAAGTCAGCTGAGACATATTTGGCACCCAGCCAGTCAATGAGCCTTCTGACCTGAGACTTCTTGTAGTTGAGCTTCCCCAGAAGCTTGCTCTTCCTCTGCAACCTTTCTGAGGCCTCATGAATCAGCTCGCCCTTTTGCAAGGGAGTGAGAGCCTTGCTATGCTCAGCCTGTTCTTTGAGCTTCTCAGCTGACAGCTGGAGCCTAGCCAGATACTCAGCTGCCAGATCAGCCTTAGAGATGCTGTGCCCACAAGCTCTTTCAATTGAGAGCCATTGCTTCATCCCAGCAACGATGTCAGGGAAGGGAACCTTCCTCCCTGCTCCTAAGGACCTCTTTCTTCCAGTCTTCTCGCGCTTTCTGAGTCCTTTCAGCTTTGGTTGCTGCTTGCTGAGCTGATGCCAATGCTCTTTCTTGCTGAGCATGCTCATGAGCTGCTGCTTAGTCAGCCCATACCTTCTCACCATTGCTTTCCAGAAGTCTTTCTTATCAACAAACTCTTTCTGAGCTAATTCCATCTCGCAGCAGTACTTGTACTTTGTTGTTGCTGTGATCTCAAGACGCTCAGCTTGGGTGCCTGGCATCTTCCTTCCTTTTGCCACATCTTCCTCAGATTTTCTAGGCCTCCCAGGCTGTCTTTTGGCAAGCCTAGCAACTTCTTCCAATTCCTCATTGGTCTCAGCCTTCTCAGCTTCCAGCTCAGCAATTCTTCTAAGATGTTCTTCTCTCTCTCAGAGCATCTTGTGCAAATCTGCTGAGCCTTTGCCTCTTGGTGATGTTTTTGGTGAAGCTGGGTGGTGTTGGCTGAGATAGCTGCTGTTCAGGTGTGCTGCCAAAAAACTTAGACAAACTGGACTGCACCTTTTCTGAGCTTGCTGGTGACCTTTGGGTGCTGGGCTCAGGGCTTCCCTGTGGAGCAGGACTCTCCTCAGCACCACCTCCTTGAACACGCAGCTGCCTCACTCTAGGCACCTGCATGTGGGCAATGATCCTCAATAATGGATTTGTTTTTGGGTTCTCAATTGTGAAAAGTTTTTTCCACTGGAAAAA